TTGGACCTCTGTCTGGCCACTTCCCGGAGGCCCTCTGGGGGCCTCTTGGGCCGTCTGGCCAGCTTCGAGCCACTTCGGCCATCTTGGTGGGTTCCTAGCCACGTCTGACGCCGTCGGGAGCCGGTCTTGGGGGCGCCGCCTTTCTGCGGCCATGGGGCCGACACTCTTGGGCGCTTCGGGGCCGTCTTGGAGGCCATCTGGGGCGTCTTGGAGGCCATCTTGGGCGTGTTGGAGGCCTCTTGGGCCGTCTTGGGGCCCTCTTGGGGCCATCTTGGAGGCCACTTGGGCCGTCATGGGGCCCTCTTGGGGGCCTCTTGGGCGATCTTGGGGGCCTCTTGGGCCGTCTTGAGCCGTCGGAATGCCGAGAAGGCGCAAATGCCAAAATCCTTCAAAAACCAACGGAAAATCAATGATTTTGGCCTCTTCGGGCCCTCCTGGAGGACCTCTTGGAGGCCTCTTGGGTCGTCTGGGAGGCCTCTGGGGGCCTCTTGGGCCGTCTTGGGCCGTCCTGGACTCTCTTGGGCCGTCTTGGAGGCCGTCTTGGACCATCTTGGGCGGACTTGGAGGCCATCTTGGGCCATCTTCGCGATTTTTTGAGGACGTCCCGAGCGAAACGGCCGATTTTTTCCGGAGTTTGTGCACGTGGAAGGGCCTCCCGGGAAACCGGCGGGACGGGCCGAAACTCACTGGGAGAGTTCTTTTGGAAAAAGAGCCAAAACCAAAACCGAGAGGGTCAAGCACGCCAGGCACCCCTGCGATGAATCGACAGGGGGCGGCGGATCGAAGACGCCTACGGCGAATCACCGCCGCCCCCTGCCTTTTTGGAAGCGCCTATGTGGCCGAACGTTGAGGCCAGACCTGCCAAGCTATCGGACCACGTGTTCCCCGAATCGGTTTGGAAAGCCTTCGGGGAACACGTGGGCATCTTGAAGGTCATCTTGGCCGTCTTGGAGGCCTCTTGGGCAAGCTTTGGGCGATCTTTGGGGCTTTTTGGGCCGTCTCGGGCCAGCTTCGAGCCAACTTCGGCCATCTTGGTGGGTTCCTGGCACGTCTGAAGCCGTCGGAAGCCGTTTGGGGGGCCTCTATGGGCCGACTTGGGGCCCGCTTGGAATGCTCCAGGGCCGTCTTGGAGGCCATCTTGGGCGTCTGGGAGGCCATCTTGGGCGTGTTGGAGGCCTCTTGGGCCCTCTTGGGGCCCTCTAGGGGCCATCTTGGAGGCCACTTGGGCCATCATGGGGCTCTCTTGGGGGCCTCTTGGGCGATCTTGGGGGCTTCTTGGGCCGTCTTGAGCCGTCGGAGAGCCGAAAAGGCGCAAATGCCAAAATCCTTCAAAAACCAAGGGAAAATCAATGATTTTGGCCTCTTCGGACTCTCCTGGAGGACCTCTTGGAGGCCTCTTGGGCCGTCTGGGAGGCCTCTGGGGGGCCTCTTGGGCCGTCTTGGGCCGTCTTGGACTCTCTTGGGCCGTTTTGGAGGCCGTCTTGGACCATCTCGGGCGGACTTGGAGGCCATCTTGGGCCATCTTCGCGATTTTTTGAGGATGTCCCGAGCGAAACGGCCGTTTTTGGGCATTGACAGACGGATTTTCGGAAACTTGCGGGTGGCCGGCGGGACGGGCCGAAGCCCACTGGGGAGTTTTTTTAGAAAAAAAACCAAAACCAAAACCTGCTCGTCCAGCACGCCGTGCACCCCTGCAAGCAGGGGGCGGCGGATCGAAGACGCCTACGGCGAATCACCGCCGCCCCCTGCCTTTTTGGAAGCGCCTATGTGGCCGAACGTTGAGGCCAGACCTGCCAAGCTATCGGACCATGTGTTCCCCGAATCGGTTTGGAAAGCCTTCGGGGAACACGTGGGCATCTTGAAGGTCATCTTGGCCGTCTTGGAGGCCTCTTGGGCAAGCTTTGGGCGATCTTTGGGGCTTTTTGGGCCGTCTCGGGCCAGCTTCGAGGCAACTTCGGCCATCTTGGTGGGTTCCTGGCACGTCTGAAGCCGTCGGAAGCCGTTTGGGGGGCCTCTATGGGCCGACTTGGGGCCCGCTTGTTCGGCTCCAGGGCCGTCTTGGAGGCCATCTTGGGCGTCTTGGAGGCCATCTTGGGCGTGTTGGAGGCCTCTTGGGCCCTCTTGGGGCCCTCTAGGGGCCATCTTGGAGGCCACTTGGGCCATCATGGGGCTCTCTTGGGGGCCTCTTGGGCGATCTTGGGGGCTTCTTGGGCCGTCTTGAGCCGTCGGAGAGCCGAAAAGGCGCAAATGCCAAAATCCTTCAAAAACCAAGGAAAATCAATGATTTTGGCCTCTTCGGACTCTCCTGGAGGACCTCTTGGAGGCCTCTTGGGCCGTATGGGAGGCCTCTGGGGGGCCTCTTGGGCCGTCTTGGGCCGTCTTGGACTCTCTTGGGCCGTTTTGGAGGCCGTCTTGGACCATCTCGGGCGGACTTGGAGGCCATCTTGGGCCAGCTTCGCGATTTTTTGAGGATGTCCCGAGCGAAACGGCCGTTTTTGGGCATTGACAGATGGATTTTGGGAAATTCGCGGGTGGCCGGCGGGACGGGCCGAAGCCCACTGGGGAGTTCTTTTAGAAAAAGAACCAAAACCAAAACCTGACACGTCCAGCACGCCGTGCACCCCTGCAAGCAGGGGGCGGCGATCGAAGACGCCTACGGCGAATCACCGCCGCCTCCGGCCTTTTTGGAAGCGCCTATGTGGCGAACGTTGAGGCCAGACCTGCCAAGCTATCGGAACCACGTGTTCCCCGAATCGGTTGGAACCTCGGGGGGGAAGTGGGCATCTTGAAGGTCATCTTGGCCGTCTTGGAGGCCTCTTGGGCAAGCTTTGGGCGATCTTTGGGGCTTTTTGGGCCGTCTCGGGCCAGCTTCGAGCCAACTTCGGCCATCTTGGTGGGTTCCTGGCAAGTCTGAAGCCGTCGGAAGCCGTTTGGGGGGCCTCTATGGGCCGACTTGGGGCCCGCTTGGAATGCTCCAGGGCCGTCTTGGAGGCCATCTTGGGCGTCTTGGAGGCCATCTTGGGCGTGTTGGAGGCCTCTTGGGCCCTCTTGGGGCCCTCTAGGGGCCATCTTGGAGGCCACTTGGGCCATCATGGCGCTCTCTTGGGGGCCTCTTGGGCGATCTTGGGGGCTTCTTGGGCCGTCTTGAGCCGTCGGAGAGCCGAAAAGGCGCAAATGCCAAAATCCTTCCAAAACCAATGGAAAATCAATGATTTTGGCATCTTCGGACTCTCCTGGAGGACCTCTTGGAGGCCTCTTGGGCCGTCTGGGAGGCCTCTGGGGGGCCTCTTGGGCCGTCTTGGGCCGTCTTGGACTCTCTTGGGCCGTCTTGGAGGCCGTCTTGGACCATCTCGGGCGGACTTGGAGGCCATCTTGGGCCATCTTCGCGATTTTTGGAGGATGTCCCGAGCGAAACGGCCGTTTTTGGGCATTGACAGACGGATTTTCGGAAATTTGCGGGTGGCCGGCGGGACGGGCCGAAGCCCACTGGGGATTTCTTTTAGAAAAAGAACCAAAACCAAAACCTGACTCGTCCAGCACGCCGTGCACCCCTGCAAGCAGGGGGCGGCGGATTCAAGTGGCCTTCGGCCCATCCCGCCAGCGTGCTTGGGTTGTGGGTTAGAGGTCTCCTGGACATTTGTTTGGATATCGTGGGAGGCCTCTCGGGGGCCTCTTGGAGGCAGTTCTGAGGCATCTTGGGGGCCGTTCGGGGGCCTCTTGGGCCTTCGTGGGGCCTGCAGGGGACCTCTGGGGCTCTCCTGGGGGGCCTCTTGGGGCCTCCTGGGGGCCTCTTCGGGCGGAAGGTTCGAGTTGTCGGTTCGTAATCCCCCTCTTAGGCGTCCTCTTGGGGCCCTCTTGGGCGGTTTTGGGCGCCTCTCGGGCCGTTTTGGGGCCCCCTTGGACCGTCTTGGGGCCCTCTTGGGGGTCTCTTGGGCCGTCTGGGGGCGGTCTTGGGGGCCTCTGGGGCCATCTTGGAGCGTTGGAAGCCCGAAAACGCGAGAACGAGAAACACATTGAAAACCATTTGAACGATCAATGATTTTTGCCTCTCTGGGCCCTCTTGGTCTCTTGGAGCACTCTTGGGGCTTCTTTGGGGCCTCTTGGGCCGTCTTGGGGCCATCTTGGGCGTCTTGGAGCGCTCTTGGGCCCTCTTGGGCGCTTCTTGGGCCCCTGTGGGCACGTCTTGGGCGCCCCTGGCCTCTCGAAAAGTCATGCGAGGCAGCCCAGGAGCGCGCGAGAGCTCCCGTGAGATGGGAGAATGTGGGGCTCCAGCCCTTAGAATGCGATAATCCCAGAGCCCTGACTACAGAGAACAGAGAATAGGGAACCCTTGATGACCTGAGGACACTTTACTTCGTGTCTCGAGGCTTGGTGGCGGTTGTAGGTTGTTGCATTCATACTTGCTTTGTCTTTTCTACATCGGTACACATGATTTGTACATGTGTTTGCAGCAAGAACGGATGTTTGCGTGTAAAGATATCTCACACATCTAAACACATTTACATTCAGATTATATGTGTGTGAGTCACACAGCGACATAATCGACACGATACGCATATGGTATATCTAAATCTGTTTCCCTTCACGTGCACAATCAGTGGTATCCGTTCTTATCGATATCGTTTGACGTCCGCAGCTTATTTGTGTCAAAGGAGCGTTGCATGGTAGCGGAGCGTCGGTTTAACCGGCGCTCCCGCGCACCAGCCCGGCCGCGCTCCAGCGCGGCCCGCCCTGCACACTCCAGCCACGGCTTCGAGCAGCGATCGCGGGGCTGCCGGCGGCGTGTGGCTGTGGGTGCCAGACGAGGAGGCTCAGGTCGAGAAGACCAACAGCAGGGTGCAGCGCAAGTGGCGCCACGTGGTGGCGAAGGTGCTGAAGCAGAAGTACCTGAAAGGTTTCTGGTCGGTGCTCGGTGAGTACCTCAAATACGTCAAGGCCAGGCAGCTGCGATGAACGACCAAGAGAGGCAGGCCCTAGCCAGCCTGCAGTCGGCCGTGGAGGCGCTGAGGCTCCAGAATGCGCAGTTGTCACAGCAGGCCGAGCAGATGCAGCAGCAGAATGTTCAGATCCGGACGGAGCTCGCTCGACAGGTCCAGGCGCAGGGAGATCTACCGCGTCTGGCAGAGCAGCTCGGAGATGCGGTGCAGAAGCTGTCGGATGAGCGAAAGGAGAGGTCTTCTGCGCCAGCCTTTTCCCTTGTAGACACCAAGGGGCTAGGCAAGCCCTCCATCTTTAAGAATGAGGAAGCAAAGTTCCTGGAGTGGTACCGCAAGACGAATGCGTACCTCACGGCAGTCTTCGGAGAGCAGTTCCTCAAGCTGCTGGAGTGGGTGGAGGATCAGGCGCAGGAGACCACGGTTATCAGCATGGAGGTTCTGGAGGCACGGTTCGGCAGCGACGACGATGATGAAGATGAATTCATTCCAGACCTCCGCGAGAAGGTCAGCCAACTGTATGTTGCACTCCAGACGCTGACAGAAGGTGAGAGCTTCGCCCTAGTGATGAACACTCTCAAGGGCAACGGCGCTGAGGCGATGAGGAAGCTCATCAGACGCTGGGACCCCGCTTCGGGGGGCAAGCGCCGTGTGCTCTTGAAGCAGATCATGAACCCGCAGCGGTGCACCCTCAGCGACCTGTACGCCAAGCTCGAGGAGTGGGAGGAGCTCATCCGCCGGTACGAGAGAAAGAAGGCAGACGGCCTGGGCAAGGTGGTCGATGACGACGTGAAGGTTGCAGCCTTGGAGACGATGGTGCCGGAAGAGCTCGAACTCCACCTCGCGATGAACAAGCATCGGTTGGACACGTCGGAGAAGGTCGTAGAGGAGATCAGGAGTTTCCTGGAGTCGAGACAGTCGCAAGGTGCCCTACTCCGACGGAAGCGAGGTGACCCAATGGACGTGGACTCGCTGTACAAAGGAGGCAAGGGCAAGTCCAAAGGTAAGGGTGACAAGAACGGCAAGAAGGGCCAGACCACCAAGCCGCGTGACAAGCGGACGGTGCAGTGCTGGCGATGCAGCGGCTGGGGCCATACGTCTAATGAGTGCACAGCCCGCCTGCCTGGCGGGAAGACCGGCGACGGCAAGGGCAGCAAAGGCAAAGGCAAGGGCAAGGACGCAGACAAGGACAAAGGCAAGGGCAAGAATCGCCGCTGGGACACCAACTCCTTCGAGCCCGGTGCCGCGTCGAGCTCGAGCCAGCCGGTCTACACAGACAACTGGGACGACGGCAACCACAGCACGATCACCAGCCTACCGCCTTCAGCGAGCCAGGTGGGTTCCACGAACCTTGGCTCCTTCGAGCTGTGCACGCTCGAGCTCAACAGCTTCGACGAGACCGTCGACGACCAGGAGTGGATCAGGTTCACGTTCGACTCGGGCGCGGCCGTTGCCACCTTCCCCGAGAACACCAAGGGCGAGCGGCTCCCGGCCGATCCGAATGCGAGCTATCGGACGGCCAGCGGTGAGATCATAGCAGACTCGGGCGGTGTATGCCTCCAAGTGCGATCCGAGTGGAGCGAGCCGATCAGACTGAAGGCACGCCTAGCCAGCATCCACAAGCCGCTGGTCTCGGCCTCGCAGACTCACCGCACGGGCCGGGCCACATGGCTGACGAAGGAGGGTGGCTACATCCTCCCGGCCGGCTCGGACATCGTGAACCGCGTCGACGCTCTCATTCGTGACGCTGTGTGGAGTGAGTCGGGCGTGGTGCCGCTGTATGTTGAGAAGGGCGTCTACGCAGGCTACATCAAGCAGAACGAGGAAGGCCACGTCAGGAGAGTCACGTTCGGCGACCACCGCGAGAGCTGGGACTTGTGTCCGGTCGAAGGCGGGTCGCCAGTCCCTCCCCGGCAGGCCTGGCCGTAAGGCTGGGAGGAGGCGGCGCTGTGGCTGGGAGCCCGGGCCCGGCGCCGCCCACCGACTCAGACGTGGGCCAGGAGGAGGAGCAGCAGGCGCAGGAGGTGGCACCCGCTCGAGTCGCGCGCCGTGGCAGGGCGCCGACGCAGGCAGAGCGGGAGCAGCACTTGGCATCGGGACACGCGGTCTACCGCTCGTGGTGCGAGGAGTGCGCGCGGGCAGCCGGCCTTGGCGCCCAGCACGCCAGGCGACCCGAGGATCGTGATGACGCCGATCCGGTCGTCAGCATGGACTTCGCCTTCGTCGGGGAGAAGGTCCCGGACGTGGAGGACGACGGCTCCATCCCCATCTTAGTGGTGACGGACCGCAAGTACGGCATGAAGGGGGCGACCGCCGTCAAGGACAAGACTGCGTCCGACTTCGTGGTCAAGTGGCTCGTGGGCTTCTTGAAGCACCTCGGGCACCGCCGTGTCGTGCTCAAGTCCGACGGCGAGGCGAGCATCTGTGCGATCAAGAATGCAGAGATGGTTGGTGTGGGCCAGCATGTCGAGTGCATCCCGCAGGAGTCGCCCAAGGGCGAGCACAAGAGCAACGGCGAGGTCGAAGCCAGCGTGAAGGAGGTGAAGAAGGTCATCCGAGCGAACTTCTTCTCCATGCAGAAGTCCTTCGGCTTCGAGGTCTCGCCCGGGCATCCCATCGTCAGGTGGCTGCCCCAGTTTGCCGCGGACTCCATCTCCAAGTTCAGGCTCGGCGTTGACGGCATGTCGGCCGAGCAGCGGAGGTGTGGCCGCCCCTGGAGGAAGTTCGCGGCGGAGTTCGGCGAGAGGGTGCACTATCGACCTCTCGGAGTCGGAGACGAGAGGAGCACGCTGGCCCCCAAGATGCTCATGGGGCACTTCGTGGGCTACCACTCGCGGACAGGCGCGCTGCTCGTCATGACGCAGTCGGGCGTGGTGCGGGCCCAGGGCTTCAAGCGCCTACATCGAGCCCAGGCATGGTCGCCGGAGACGCCCGGGTCATGGGGCAAGCTTGCTGGACTGCCGTGGGAGGTTTCCCCCGCGGTGTTGCTCGCGCAGCCCGTGGGCCCGATCATCGTGACTAGAGACACGCAGGAGGACCACGACACCGTGGTCAGGAGACGCTACGTACTCAAGAAGGACATCGAACGCTTCGGAGCTACTCCGGGGTGTCCAGGCTGCGCGGACCTCATGGCAAGGGGGTCGGCGCGGGTCGCGCACTCCCAAGAGTGCCGCGATCGCATCGAGGCCGAGCTGATGAAGGACTCGGCAGGCCAGCGGAGACTGGCGGAGCACCACCTGAGGGCGAGTGCTCGCGAGGCTCAGGCGGAGGAGAGCGCGGCGCAGCCGGGGCCCCAGCCTGGAGCAGCCGCAGCCAGCGGCGGAGGAGCCGCTGCGGCCAGCAGCGGAGGAGGCGCCGCGGCAGGACCCGGCGCAGACGTGGCCATGGCAGGTCCACGTGCAAGCGCCCCGGCGACGCCACAGGCAGCATCGAGGAAGCGTGCTGCGAGCGTGTCCGCCGAGGAGCGCCGCCCGCCGCAGTTGCGAGACGGGCCGAGAGGGCTCAAGAGAGCTGGGAGCGAGCCGGACCTCCACGGGCAGATGATCGTGGACGGAGGCTCGAGCTCGTCGGCTGGACCGGCGAGCGCGGCAGTGTCCGCCGGGCTGGTGCAGCCCGCGCCTAGCCCAGAGGGGGCTAGAGGAGGTGGCGACATGGAGGACTTGGCAGGACCAGCTGCACGAGCTGGCAGCTCCATGGACGTCGGCGCCTTTGACGAGGTCAAGGGCAAGATCTACAAGGAGATCCTGGCGCTGGTGAGCGCCACGGACTTGATCGGCGACAACGTCATGTCGATCGAGGAGCTGAAGGAGGTGTCCGCGCTGTTGACCGAGATCAACGGGGTCGACCTCGCGGAGGTCTACTCGCCCGAGCGCTTCAAAGGGAAGGCGCTCGGCATGGGCCTGACGGCAGGCCTCGCGGCGGACCTCTACACCGGCTGGGACTTGCTTCGCGAGGACCACCGCCGAGCAGTCATGAAGAAGCTGCTGGAGGAGGACCCTCTCCTCACCGTGACCTCTCCGCCGTGCACGGTTTTCTCCAAGCTCAGGCAGCTCAGCAACTTCAAGCGGGACGAGGGCATCGTGGCTTCCGAGGTCCTCGAGGGAGAGACACACCTGGAGTT